TTCTGAAATATGCAGAATGAAAGATTATTATAATATATGAACTGAATTATCTATATAAGCCTTCTCATATTGTCCCCTTCCTATGTTAGAGCAAATAGTTTCAGATAACCTGGTGCCATGCCATTGAGGGCTTTATAGTTAAAACCAGCTCTTTAAATTGCACTCAGGAGCTTTAGTGGTGTTGGGTTGGAATGCAGTGGTTAGAACGCTATTGTAGGCTTACTCTGCCCACACACTAGGAGGTTGATCCTGACCAGCTCAAGGTTGACCCAGCCTTCCATCCTTCCGAGATTGGTAAAATGAGGACTCAGATTGTTGGGGACCATATGTTGATTCAGTAAGCAGCTTAGAAAATGCTGTAAAGCATTATGAAGTAGTATATAAGTCTTAATTCTATTGATAGTGCTACTGAATTCAGAGACACACATCTAGCAAAAATGAAATATGTGTGCTTTCATTGTCAATGAGACAGTGATTTGAAACTGAAACACCAACAAACAAATTGGCAGCTGGCACAGCAATGAGAAGTGTTAGCCATATGGTGCTCACAAACTAAAATATTTATTTGATGTGTCTTCAACAATCTAAAATGGCCACATGCGCTTTAAAAATGAGGACATTTTCGATTCTACATATTCTCAAAATAGGGATATTACTTGTAAAAATGAAGCTTGTAACCCTAACCCTCAAATGATATGTAGTTTTACTTAAGACACAATGTTCAGAAATGTGCTAATAATTTCTATTTCCTGCCAAAAATGTATCTCTCAATCTTGCATAGAAAGCTAAGAATGAATAGATCTTCTCACTCAACTTTTTAAAACATTTTCAAACAATGAGAATAATCTGAGTAATTTCTTCTAAGGGAGAATTTACAGTGGAATATTTTTCAAGAGAAAGATCTTATTATAGTATTAAAATGGCTGAGTTTCAAATTTGAGCAGGAGGTGCATATTGAAATATAAGTGGGGAAGTGAAAAAGTCATTTATTTATATAAAATGTAGAACTGAAATTTGCAAGTTCTAATTGCTGATTTGGTATGGTTGCACTTTTTATTGCTTTTTTTTATTTATAAAAGGAGAATGCCATTTCATTTAGTTGGTGCGGCATTGTAGGGTCTGCCACAAATTTCATTGCCTGCCCAGCTATTTCCTTGTAGCGCTAGACAAGAGACTTCACCTCTTACTGATCGCTCCTGGTTAGTTTTTCCTCCATGCCTATAACATGAGTTTAGTGCTCTTTCAGAAGATCATTAGATCAGTGCTCGGAAGTTGCTGATTGACAAGTCACAGAAAGAGAGCATTTCATACCTGTAACGTATAATTTATACAATTTTGCAGGTGGCTAAATCTACCATTCAAAGCACCCATTTCTCTTGCCCTATTCTCTCCCATGTTGAGAAGAGTGACTGGTGATTGTTTTATGTATGTATGTATGTATGTATGTATGTATGTATGTATGTATGTATGTATATATATATATGTAGGTCTTTGGTTATTCAGGTCTTCTCCCACATAAAATTGGAAGTGTCTTGGCGACGTTTCGATGAAGTCTCATTCGTCATCTTCAGGCTGGTATTCTCGGCTTCGTGCTTCCAGGAGCAATGTGAGATCGCAGCTGTCTCTTCCTTTTAACTGCTAGTGGGGGGGTGAGCTGATTGGGTGGGAACTTGGCTGTGTTCTGATTGGGTGGAGGTGTGTTCTGATTGTTAGGGGTTTGGCTGTGCTCTGATTGGATGGGGGGTTGGTTGTGCTCTGATTGGCTGGGGGTGTGTTCTGTTTGGGTGGGGGCTTGGTTGTGCTCAGCTTAGTCTGAGTTGCAGGGGGATTTGAGCTGGTGAGCTGCATTGTTGTTGTTTGGCTTCGTGTTTGTGGCCGTGCGAGCTCTTCGTGGTGGGTGTCAGTCTGCTTCATGTATGGGTTGGAGGGGTTTAAAGTGGCTAATGATGCAGCTGCAGTCTGGCTTCTGGTCCCCTATCTTGTCACCATGGTGAAGAGAAGCAGTTGTGAAATGAGTGACATGGTTGTTAAGAATGCTGCAGGGCATAAATGATGACCAGTCATAAGTGCGAAGACCGGTCAAAAGTGCGAGGACCTGTCAGAAATCACTTTTTTCAGCCCTCTGGGTAGTCCTTTTGTGCATATGGACTACTCAGAGGGCTGAAAAAGTTATTTTGACTGGTCCTCGCACTTTTGGCCAGTCCTCGAACTTACAACTGTCCTCACATTTTACGTTTTTGCCCTATCTTGTCACCATGGTGAAGAGAAGCAGTTGTGAAATGAGTGACATGGTTGTTAAGAAAGCTGCACGGGCATAAATGTGAGGATGGTCATAAGTGTGAGGACCGGTCAAAAGTGCGAGGCCCAGTCAGAAATGACTTTTTTTCAGCCCTCTGAGTAGTCCCTATGCACATAGCCATGCCCACCCAGTCACATGACCAGCTAGCCAAGCCTACAGTCACATGACCAGCTAGCCATGCCTACACAGTCACGTGACCAGCTAGCCACGCCCACCCAGTCACGATTGCCAAGCCACACCCCCAACTAAGCCACGCCATAGAACCTGTTGTTAAAAAAATTGAATCCCACCACTGTATGTATGTATGTATGTATGTATGTATGTATGTATGTATGTATATATATATATATATATGTGTGTGTGTGTGTGTGTGTGTGTGTGTGTGTGTGTGTGTGTGTGTGTGTGTAGGTCTTTGCTTATTCGGGTCTTCTCCTACGTAAAATTGGAAGTGTCTTAGCCCTGGTTCTGTGAAATCTCATTCACAAGTTTCTGGGCTTTTTGTTTCTTGCTGACAGAGTCTGCTGTCTGTCAGCAAGAAACAAAAAGCCCAGAAACTTGTGAATGAGATTTCACAGAACCAGGGCTGTATAACATCTTAGCTTACGTAGGTAAAACCTGGCTAGAAAGAATATGCATATATATCTCTATCTCTATCTCTATCTCTATCTCTATCTCTATCTCTATCTATCTATCTATCTATCTATCTATCTATCTATTAGGTGGCACTTGGCAGCCACAGAAACAAAGCCAGGGAATTCACCAATCATTTCCTTTAACTCAGGGGTGAAATCCAAATATTTTTGCTACTGGTTCTGTGGGCGTGGCTTAATTAGTGGGCAGGGCTTGGTGGTAATGTGACTGGGTGTGCGTGGCTAAGTCAATGTCACTTCTTCGCCCCTTTTTAACCTACAAAACATAACACAACACAACACAACTGGCTCACCCACAATGTAAAAGCAGCTGTGCTAGACTCAAAATGGCCCCGCAACAAGCAGGAACCTCACACAGCCACAAAAAGCCCAAAAAAACAACTTTCACACTTTACACACACACAACATGACACAACACAACTGGCTCACCCACAATGTAAAAGCAGCTGTGCTAGACTCAAAATGGCCCCTGCAACAAGCAAGAACCTCATATAGCCACAAAAAGCCCAAAAAACCAACTTTCACACTTTACACACACAAAATTCCACATACAGCTTTGTGAGATTTTGTGTGTTTGTGTAGTTAGAGTGAAACACTACAGAAACACACTAAATCTCAGAAAGCTGCACAAATATTATTTTATTTTATTTTTATTTTTATATAAAAGCAGCTAAATTTAAAACTTCCTAAACTTTAAATGGCTAGGTCTAAAAAAAGAACAACTAAAAAAATCCCCAATTAACTATTTTTTTTAAAGCTCCCAAAGGGGAAAAAAACTTACCCAATAGAACAGGGGTCTCCAACCTTGGCAACTTTAAGACTTAGGGACTTCAACTCCCATAATTCCTCAGCCAGCTTTGCTGGGAGTTGAAGTCCACAAGTCTAGGCAGGAAGGCAGGCAGGCAGAAAGAGCTGCTCACCGATGAGCTTGATTGTAGGCAGGGAGATTCAGTTGCTTGCTGATCATTGCGATCATCATGCGATCAGCAGCTAAGGTAAGCAAGCTGGAGGCTGTGGGGGGAGAAAAAAAGAAACTTTTTTTTCTTTTACATGGCTCTGGCGATCCAAGCTGAGTTGCCTGATTAGCAGGCAACACAGTTGGGATGTCAGAGCTTGGCTGGTCAGAGCCATTTAAAAGGAAAAAAAGGCTCTGATGATCGCGGGGCTCAGCTGGGCATGGGGGGCGGGGGCAGGGATTTTTGCTACTGGTTCTCCAAACTGCCCGCTGCCATCGCTACCTACTTGCCTGAGCGGTCCGAACCGGGAGCATTTCACCCCTGCTTTAACTCATCCCGAATTCATTCTTTAAACATAGCACCACTCACCACTCTCATTATTGAGGCAGCTACCTAGGTCACACAATTCATGATGGCACACTTTCCTGCTGGCTTAAAGACTGGTGGATTTAATCTGAATGAAACCACTTGGCTGTACCTTAATTCAGTTCTAAAGACATGGTTTTTTAAATTATCTGTAAACTGTTTTTTATTTGTACTTTTAAAGCAGAGAGAAAAAGGTAGAGAAGATAGGAATAAGAATATTCCATCAATCCAAAGAGCAACTCGAACAGAAGAGATGAGAGCACCATATGGATGGATCCCAAACAATAAATGAAATGCCTCTCCAGAAATGTTCCATGTCTGGGACAGCACATCTGGATGAATCTACATGGAAACAGTTGCATTAACCTTGCTGACAGCCAGTTCTATAAGATGTCTCCCCTGTTTTTGCTTGTTTTCACTCTGATCTGTATCTAGTTTTTACTGAGGATAAGCATTTAAATTCTAAACATTGGGATCTTAACTTCCTTTTTCCTCTTTTCTTTACAATCTATTAAATTCTATGCTATTCCATTTCAAAATGTAGCACTGGGATTAACTACTATCCTTTTTGGAGGGAAGACTGAATTGCCAATACTGTAAAGATAAACAGATACACAGTAAAATAGATTACATTACTGTATACATTTAAATGCAATATCCATAACACATGTACTAACATCAAAAACAGAAAGGAATAAAAAAAAGAAAGATAACACATTTGCCAACATAGTGGATCACATCCATTTATTCTAGAAGAGTATGGAATTTAGCTGTTCTTCAAAGTGGACCTTCATCTAGAAAGTTGAGACAATAGGAAAGGAGAAAATTATATTTAAAATTAGAGTCATACAGAGAAATTTTGCATGTTTTCTAGGCACTTCTTATTCATGAAAGTTTCCCTTCCAAATTTCTTCCAAAGGGGGAAGAAAGTGTCTGTGAACTCATCTTGAGTGAGGTGTTCTGGAATTTACATAAGTTAGACAAGGTTGCCATGAAGTGGATGTGAATATTCTGTCTTGCACTGTATAATAATTTCTCAAATACGTAGCAACCTCCCAGGCTATTCATGTTTCAATTATCTCCCAAGGGAAGACACCATCAAAGAAATTCTCCCTGGAGACTCCTCAGACTGGGAATTGTAGGCAGACAGGGAAGCTTCAAAATGATGAAAGTTGTATACTGTGGCAGGAAACAAATATTTTTATGGCATAATGGAGTGAGAAAGATATGATAAATTCTTGTACATTATTTGGATCAGTTTAATTTTTATGATCTTCCAACACTCCTCATCTGTGTTTATGGACAGGGCCACCACAGCTTGGTGTGCAAATTGTGTGTCACATAGGAGAACCACACAAGGGCTCCACCATAGGTAGCACTTGTATGTGAGTGCACTTTGATATATTTTCTATTTCAAACTCATTGAACCCCTTTAATGCGGCCCTTCTTTCATAGGCTTAACTGTTATTTTTACCATTGCTCTAGCCCTGAACTTGATTTCACACAATTAGATATATCCCTTGTTATTGGATCACCACCTCAGGCTTTGTTCAACAAAAAAAGTTTACATGTACTGTATGCACAGAAATGCTGTATATACCATATTGTTTTATGCATAGAGTCTTGGGCATTTTGGGAAGGAAGAAACTTTGATCTGGAACAGAACTGCATTGGGGAGTTGAACAGGCTTGAGGCAGCAGCTCAGCTTTATCTGGGAAACATAAAAAGGCTTCAGGGAAACATCATCCCTGAGCGATCATAAAAGCACCACTTGCATGTTTCCATATGCAATATTGTAAGAACCTTGTTCAAAAGCTCCAAAAGCATTGAGAGGCAACACTGAGTGGTTGCGGTACCCAAAGGATTTCAGAGGAAGAGATGCTGAACATGAAATCCAAACAGTCTGGGTAGAAAAAAATTGGGTGTAAATGCAAGACTCATAATCACATTCCCCAGGGGCCAGCAAAGGCCAGATTCAGGGTTGCTGAGCAATCCACTTTGACTACAGTTCACCTCCCACTGAAATCATGGGAAATGGCTTTGCAAGATATCCTATATGAAAAATGGTCATCCACAAATGTTGACGCTGTGGATGCATTCAAATTAATAATTCAATTTTACTTCAGATTCATAACAGAACTGATTGAATTTCAGAGATTGAGTGCTCATATTCTTCAATCACAGATTTTACACAGAAATCTAAGTGGGCTTTTTGTTTAAGATAGCCATTTATTATTATTTTGTTTTAGAAATTTTTTAGGGTCAAATAACTTGGGAGACTCTAGAAAGACTGCAGAGAAGAGCAACAAAGATGATCAGGGGACTAGAGGCTAGGGACTGTCTAGTTTAATGGAAAGAATTAGGAGTGACATGATATCAGTCTTCCAATATCTAAGAGGCTTCCAGAAATAAGAGGTGGTCAACCTATTTCCCAAAGCACTTGAAGGCAGAACAAAATGCAATGGATGATCTCCTGCATGAGATTGGGCTAAAAGACCTGGTTTTGAGTGCAACCTGGGTTTGGTGATAGCTGAGGTTTTGCTCCTGTGCACCTTACTGCAACCCAATTCCCACTGGAAATTTGCACTAGAAATGTGATCAGGCAAGATCAGAAGACTTAAATCTCTTCATAGCTGACAACCTTTGGGCAGATTAAACCAACTGTTCCCCAATGTGATGAAGTTTTTAACTGTTGTGTTAAACTGACTGCCACTCAGGTAGGCTGAAATACCACAAAATGGCTTTTCAGTTCCATAGAAATCTTGATTAACTAAATTTTCCTGAGATTTAATGTGTATCATTCTTTCTGGTGAATCTTTGATCCTGATTTGTAGTTTGGTTCTTAATTGTTCTTCTTTGTTCTCTCTTTCTAACGTAACCTTACTAAGATTTCTGGCCTACCTATAGCACCTGGTATTCTCTTTCAGTTTCTGGTTATATACATATACCACCACCATCACAATAACAACAACAACAACAACAACAGGATTATTATTCTGCCTGGTAATAATATTTGATGATTTCTCAATTTTCTTCAGTTGTCCAAGTTTTGCGCTTTTGTTTTAGTCGCTTTGTAGTTACACGCCCTGGTTCTCTAGCAGTAACAACTGAGCCCTGTAGCCCCTTTTTCGACAGATGTCCAGGAGCCATAGCATCTGACGGGGTTCTTATTGACCCGGGTGACAACTGATCCGGTGTGGAATTTTGTTGATTCCTTCTCATCATTAGTGATGGTAGGTGCCTAGGTTGGTTCATGGTGGCTAAACCACTACTAATCCAAAAATGATAATCCCATAACCGTAGGAACTGCACCAAATAGCTGTCCAGGCCCAGCCATGGCAACCTAACTTGTTGCTTAGTGGCAGAAAGGCAGGAGAAGGAATAGGGGGGAGGAAAGAGGCCTACCTGCCTGTTGGGTGGCAGAATCAGGAATGGTGGGGGAGGAAAGAGGCCTCAACTGGACTTTGGCTGAACTGGAAAACTTGGATGAGAAAAAGCGCAAACTTTTGAGTATGTACCATGCTTTACATCCACAAAGTGACATTGCAGGTTGTACCTGCCAAGAAAAATAGGGGCCAGAGGACTATTGCAAATCCATCAAACTGTAGAAGAAGAAAAACGAAGTTTGAATGATTATGTGAACCAAAATACAGAAAAATTGCCGGAGGCTGTGAAAACAGAGAACATAAGTCATAAGTCATAAGTTTATTTTGTCAAGCATATATAAGATAACAGGTAAAAGTATAAACATAAGTTGAATACATGAAAAGAGTAAGTAAAAAGGAATATTAGAACAGGGAGAGTAGGCACGCTGGTGCACTTATGCACGCCCCTTATAGAAGGGGCAAAAAACAACAGAAACAAAGTCAGAATATAAGGAAAAATAGCTGGATGAGAGATTAAATGGATGGAAAACCAAAGCTTTGCATGGACAGCACTTGGAAAAACACTGAAGGAAAATATGATAACAACTTGACATGGGCATGGCTTAAGAGAAAGAAATGGGCATGGGCATCAAGAAAGAAATAGAAGGTTTAATACTTGCTGCTCAAGAACAAGCACTACAAACTAATGCCATGAAAGCGAAGATACAAAAATCCACTGACAATCCAAACTGCCAATTTTGCAATAACAACATTGAAACTGTTTCGCACTTAATATCTGAGTGCAGCAAAATCATGCGAACTGATTACAAAGCTAGACATGATTGAGTTGCTAAATTAGTCCACTGGTCATTATGTAAAAAATACACCCTACCTTTATCCGAAAAGTCATGGGAACATGAAGTGGAAAAAGTTGCCAAAATGAGACGGTGAAGATCTTGTGGGACTTTCAAATACAGATGGATCATCACTTGGAACACAACATGCCAGATATCACAGTTGTCGAAAACTGAAACGTACAATTTATTGATATCACGGTACCAGGAGATGTCAGAGTCGAAGAAAAAGAACTGGAAACAATCATGAAATATTGCAACCTGGCCATCAAAACTACACAGCTATGGATGAAACATGTAACAGTGATACCTATTGTCATCAGGGCACTTGGTACTATGTCCAAAAATTTTATAAAATACATCAACTAATTGTAGTTTCCTGCAATAACACCAGCGGAACTGCAAAAAACTGTGCTACTTGGAACATCATACATCTTAAGAAGGTATTTAGTTGATACCTAGGATGCTGGCAGCAACCCGTATCAACCAGTAGTAACAGTCAATGGTATTTGTGATGCATTTTTGAATGTTCAGTTGACTGAGTTTCATGTTTAATGAATAAAGTAAATAATAATAATAATAATAATAATAATAATAATAACAACAACAACAACAACAACAACAACAACAACAACAACAATGGAATGGTTAATCATTATTAATTGAATAATCAATTTGTATTTGTGATACATTTTTAAATGTCCAGTTGACTGAATTTCATGTTTAATGAATAAAAGATAATAATAATAATGATGATGATGATGATGATGATGATGATGATGATGATGATGATGTTAAGAACTGGACATCGCCTGGCAATGATCAAATGCATGGCTTTTGGCTCAAATACTTGACCAGCCTGCATGGAAAAATGGCTGAACAATTCAATGAGATGCTGCAGACAGGAAACATCAGTGAATGGTTAACAGCTGGAAAAACTTATTTGATACAGAAGGATCCAGCAAAAGGGGCAACACCTGCAAACTACAGGCCAATAATGTGTCTGCCAACCATGTTCAAGCTGCTGACCGGCATTATAGCTGACAGGATCCAGGACTACCTAGAAGCGAATAACATCTTGCCAGTAGAGCAGAAAGGAAACAAACGAGGAAGCAGAGGCACAAAGGATCAGCTCCTGATTGACAAACTGATTCTAGAGAACTGCAAAAGCCGAAAAACAAATCTGCATACAACTTGGATTGATTACAAGAAAGCATTTGATTCACTACTGCACAGCTGGATCATCAAGTGCCTGGACGTCATTGGAATATGCAAGTGCATTGGTACTTTCATTGCAAATGCGATTGCAAATCCAGGAAGTCCTGGAAAACAGAACTGTTTATTGGAAGCGAAAGCTACAGACTGGTCAACATCAAAAGAGGGATTTTCCAGAGTGATTCTTTGTCACCTCTGTTGTTCATCATCACTATGGCCCCCCTGTCAACAATTTTACAGAAAACTAATCTGGGTTATCAAACTGCTAAAAACTCACAGAAAATCTCTCACCTGCTGTACATAGATGACCTGAAGCTATATGGAAAATCAGAAATTGAGATCCAGTCACTGACCAATACA